TAGGGTTTAGGGTTTAGGCCTGAAGGTCGCATGTTTCAGAGGCAACAAAAAAGCGCCCAAACAAAAACGAATCCAAGTAAGCCGGATATTCCACCCAAGAGCTTATGTTTGGGTAGCTTTGTGGTTCCTGATGTCTGAATGAAGACTAGTCGCTTTGGGGCCAAGGGTTGCTGTAGGGATTAGGGTTTACAGGGTTTAGGGTTAATGTGCAGGGTTTCCGAGATCGCCTTCTTGAGTCTTTTTAGGTAATGTAGGGGCCTTAATAATTGGAAAAGGGTCCTGGGGCCCATGATACTTTAATTATGACAAGGAACCCTAAACCCTAAACCCTAAACCCTAAACCCTAAACCCTAAATAGGAGTGGTAATAATTTCGGCCCGTGCAGTAGCTTTTGTAGTATGACTTGAAGGGCCCTGGAGGACTTCGGAGGGCCTGAAGCAAGCTTTGTTTAGGGTTTAGGGTTTAGGGTTTAGGGTTAAGGGTTTAGGGTTTAGGGTTTAGGGTTTAGGGTGTCTATCAGCGACTGTTCTTGTATGTAATCGCAGCTGTTGGCACTCTGTTCGTGATGCATGGTGAACAATATGATGGCAATGACTGCTATTGGTTCGATGGCTACCATGACTTACTCTTGGTACTGACACTAATAAAGATCATCCGGACACTGTTACCGCCACTACCTGTCTTACCATCACGAAGCATCTGACGGGTCTTACAGAAACAAAGCTCTGTGTTGACTATCGATTCGTCCTGACACTTCTGGTGCGCATCACAAAATATACTTGTTCGGCCTAGATGCCCAAATGTGGTACTGTGCGGTTTTGGCAGTGAAAGTCCTGAACCGTGAATCCTAAAACGTAAGCCCGACAAGCATGCGCACGCAGGAGCCAGGTTGCAGTACCGGGCCTTCCCTAGGCGCTTGTGCAACTCCTTGGGATGCAGGGCGGGGAGGGCGAGGGAAAGGGTCTAGAGTGTATTAAAGGATCCTAAATATTCAGAGTACGGTAAGGGGGTGTATTATACCACAAATATTTTTCACCACAAATATACGTATTATAATGTTTTTTGAATCCGACAGTCTAGTAGAATAAATGCCAGAGCTACAAGGCATCTCGAAGCTCTGAGTCCTTGAGCTTTCTACCTGCGACCTTTAGGGTTTAGGGTTTGGGTTTAGGGCTTAGGGTTTAAGGCTTAGGGCTTAGGGTTTTAGGGCTTAGGGGTCAGGGTTTAGGGCCTAAGGTTTAGGGCTTAGGGTTT